CGGGGGCGTGGCACCGACCGCAGCGCCCCGGCGGCGGGGCCCAGCCGAGGCGTCAGCCCGGGCAGGAGGAGGCTCGTGATCCAGCCGCCAATCTCTCCTCCAGCCTGCCACCGTTTCCACACACAGCAGGGTCTGTGGGGGCGGAGGCTTTTTCCAGACATGTATTTAAGTGAGGAGAGAAAACAAGGCGAGTCTCCCAGGATTTGCCAAGTCAGTAGGCAGGAACACAACCCGGGAGGCCCAAAATAAGACGCCGGTGAGGGTCACCCTGCTCTCCCGGGCTGGGCACGTCTCCCAGCTCGTGCGGAACACTGCACAATCGCACTTGTGTGTGGGGACAGCAGCCGTCCCCGCTGCCGGTCTCCTGGCTGGAGGTGGCCAGTGAGTAATGGTGACTCAGGGAAATTCGCAAGGACACAGGGAACACCCCCAAAGTCATCTGGGGACATGCCCTGGTTCCTCCTGCTGGTCAGGCAGCCAGGAGTTCTGGTCCCCATCGTAAAGAAGGAATTTTAAGGTTTTTTTTCTGGAACTTTGGCAGAATTCTATGGGATCTTTCAGGGGAAGCATTAGGCTCTGGGTGTTTTTTGGGGTGGGGGGGGGGAATTACTGAAAAATTGTAACCTTTGTATCTATTTACAAATGGTTTCCTTCTCTTTTTCAGCTCTAAATTTGTCATTTAGTTTGGTGAGGCATTGATCACTTTCTGCGCTGAACAATACTTCTGAAAACAAGGAACAAGGGCCAGCTGGCGGCGTGGTGGTGAAGGTGGCTGGATCCCACATGGCCTACTGCACAGTTCAAGTCCCGGACCCGGTGGTTTGAAAAAAACATACCAGGTGCATTTGCGTGAATGCGCAAAGTTCTGAGAAGAGAATGAAGAAGTGTTTGCAGCATGGCCAACCTCCCGCCCCGGCCCCGGGGTGAAGGGGGTTCTCACTTTCCCTCTCTCTCTGGTGAGAAGTGAGCTCATGTGCCCTATAGCAAACAAACAAACAAATGACGGTTATAGCAATAATTAGCATTTTCTCAACCCTTACTACACACCAGGTACTGAGATCTTGATGTCTCCCTCCCTTCGTTTTCTGTTTTATCAAACTTGAAGTCTCACCAATCGTTCGGTATAACATTGTCTATGTGCCGTTGAAGAGTACAGCTGGTTAATCTGTGAAATGCCATTGATTTTTCTATGTTCTTGCCATAGGGCGCATGTGCTCACAGGAGAGAGACAGAGAGAGGGAAAGTGAGAAATCACCCCAGGGGTGGTCATTTCCTCCGTTCTCCTCTCAGGATGGTGCATACACGCGCACATGCACCCAGTGATTTTCAAGCCACCATGTCTGGGACTCGAACTGCAATCAACCATGTGGGAGTCCGATGCCTTAACCACTATGCCACCTGCTGACCCCCATGCCATCGATTTTAAGACTCACCCTGATTTTAACACACGTTAAGAGAATAAACTTTAATCATACTCGAATCGTTCAATGCAGTAAGTCACTCTCAGCTCTTAGCCTTGCCTCATAGATAAGCCCAGGAACAGAGAAGTTGATAATCCGCCAGCGTCACACGGCGAGTATGTAGTGAGATGGGATTTAACCCAGAGTTGGGTTCAACACTACACTCGTGACCACGTGGTATTCTAGATTGCAGGGAAGACGTAAGGAAGGACACACAATCAACGGCGCAAGTCAGACCCCACGCTCCTCTCCCTCAGACCTCAGGACCAGGGTCAGCAGCTCTATTGACGTCCCCCCCAACACATGTTCCTAGCTGTTCTTCCTCTCACTCCCAGCAGCTGGCACCCTGGGCCTGTCCTCCCTCAGCTCCTCCTGACCCTTGCTTGGACTATTGCAGTAGCCTCCGGGCTGTGACCCCCTCCAGCCCCTGCCAATATGCACACTGGAATCAGAGTCGCCTTCGTAAATCGTGAGTCTGATCTTGTCACTCCGCTCAGAAATGCTGGTGGGCAGGGCCGGCAGGTGGCGTGCTGGTTAAGGGCACTGGATTCCCCCATGGCCAACCATGGTTCAAGTCCTGGACCTGATGGCTTGCTTTTTCATCTTCCCTCTTTCTCTCCCACTCTGTCCCTCTAAGGTCAAATTAAAATAAATAAAGTCAAATTAAATAATTCTTAAAATAATAAAAAAGAAATCCTGGTGGGCATTTGTTCACGTCTCTGTCTTAGCACCTACTGTACGGCAGCCTTTGTGCTAGGCTCAGAGCTGCCCAAACCCTCCTGCCCAAACCCTCCTGCAGGCCGAGGTCTCCTGGAGAAGTGAAACCTCCCGCAGGCAGGCAGGACACAAGGGGGAAATGCTAGCCCCTGGGGCACACAGAAGGCGGACCTGCTTTGGGGACTTGGAGACCACTTGGTGGAGCAAGTGTTGCCCGAGCCAAACCCTGCAGCGTGAGTGGGAATTCACCAGGAAAAGGCTGGCAGGGAGCTCCGGGAGGGGGAACAGCATGTGCAAAGGCTCAGAGTAGACAGAAGTGGAGCACTGGCTGCCAGATGGGCGTGGTCCCGGATGAGTCTGGAGAGACAGGCTGGGCTGGAGTGGGCTGGCCTCCCTGTGGCTGGCCCCAGCCTCTCCTCCTCATCCTGCGACAGCTCTGTGAGCAGAGCCTGGTCTCCCAGCCAGGCCTCTCTGCGCGTGTCCTCCACCAGAAACCCCTCTGCCCATTTAGGTCACCTCCCGGCTGGAGTACTCCTGACCCCGGAGTTAGCTCTCTGACCTCTGAACTGCGCAGACGCCTCGGGGGCTGGTGTCAGACTCAGCTGAGGAGATTTGGGAGCCTTTTGTCAGAATTCAATGCAATTAAAGACCCAAGTTGAGGGCCGACCCTGTGGTCTGCTGGCTGAGGACACCAGATCCCACATGGTTAATCATGTGGTTAGAGTAGTGGACCTGGTGGCTTGAAGAACAGGCTGGGTACACGTGTGTCCTAAATCCTGACAGAAGAGAGACATGAAGGGATCATGGCATGACCACGTCCCACTGGGGACACTCTTTGTCTCTCTTTGGTAAGTGTACATGCCTTTTGATGAAAAACAAAGCAAAACAGGGACCAGCATAATAGCTATGTAATATGCATAATTAGCGTAATGGCTATGTCGTTGAACTCCCATGTACTCGGCCATGGTTCGAGTCCTGGACCCAGTGGCTTAAACCCATGCCGGGCGCATGCACGTGCATGCCCAAGATCCTGAGAGGAGAACGGAGGAGAAGGGATTGCGGTGTGGCCATCCCCCCTGGGGGGTGATTTCTCGCTTTCTATCTCTCTTTGTCTGTCTGGCGAGCGCACGTGCCCTATAGCAAAAAAAAAAAAAAAAAAAACCGCTCCAAGAAAAAAACAAAACAAAACAAAACAACAACGGGGACAGGTAGGTGGTGCTGGTTAAAGTACTGGATTCCACAGGGCTGACTCCGCTGTTTGAGACCTGGACCCAGCAGCTTGAAAAACAGGCCAGGCTCCTATGTGTGCATGCCCGAAATCCCAAGAGGAGACTGCGAGAGAAGGGATTGTGGCGTGGCCATGCCCCCAGGGGGTGATCGCTCACTATCTCTCTGTCTGTCTCTGGTTAGCGTGTGCACCCTATGGGAACAGTCTAAAAGCAAACAAAACAGAACACCAAAGTGCAAACAAAGGTCCACAAGACCCCATGCAGTGGAGAGCCCCTGCCCTCTACCCCGACCCGACCTTCCACTTCTCCCCCCCTGCCAACCCTCCTCTGCTACACTGGCCTCCCCCTGGTTCTAAAATCCCCCCACCTACCCCAGGTCCTCTGCGCTTGCAGTTCCCCAGTACACCATTTTTCTGCTATCTGCCCAGCTCCTACTCTTCGCCAGATGTTCCTGGACTGTCACCTCAGAGGCCCAGCCCAGCACCCTGTTGAAAATCACAGCCCTCGTCTCATGCGAACCGGACCTACTTCCCTCCATAGCTCTCGGGCTCACTGACTCACTGTTTGTTTGTTTACTGTCTGACTTTCCCCACAAGAATGCGAGCTCCAGGAGGTCAGGATTTGGGTCTGCCTGGGCCCTTCTCAAGCCCAGCACCTGCACGGAGCCCGCCAGGCAGTAGGTGCTCCATGAACAGCTGTGGGTTGGACGACGAACGGCCAGCTCTGCCCGTGTACCCGGCACGCTCTGCCACGGAGGACGGAGGACGGGAGCTGAAGGAATGAGGCCTGCCCCGCCAGGGGTGCCGGCCGAGCTGGTTCCGGCGGGCAGTGGGACAGGTCCCTGGAAGCCAGGTGAGTCCCGGGTGAATCACCGCTAATGAGAAGGTGAGGACCACGCCAAGCCGCTTCCCACACAGGCGGCCGACAGGTCACTGCCTGTCGCCAGGAAACTCCGCAGTAAGGGTTGAACAGGACCCTGGGCTGGGGCGGAGGAAGTGCTGCCGCCCAGTGGAGACCCCACCCATTCCTGAGGTCTGAGTCGGCTCACCTGGGCTCCCCCACCCCCCAGGCCTTAGCTGGATGCTGGTTTCTCAACCTGGGTTCCGAGGTTTCCGTCCTAAAAGGAGTTTCGCTTGGTCTGTCCCACGCCCTCCCGGGCAGCGCCTGTTTGTCATTTCGCTCTGTCTGGGTGGCTGAGATGGCAGAGGGAAAACAGCTGGGCTTGGCAAATCTCAGGCCCTCCGGGGCAGCCCAGCGGAGGATCAGTGACCAGGTTATGAAGTGCATGGACAGGATCAAGAGGGCTCATTGACCTGACGGGACAGGGTCGGGGGCCGCGGTGCCATGTCCCACCTACCCTGTTGGGGTGCCCTCCAAGCTCAGGTCAGGTGACCCTCTCGGGGTAGGGCACCGTCCTCTGCCAACCGAGGCCTCCTGCGCTGGGGGTGGCTGCAGGGCTGGGATGAGATCATGGGTGCCAGGCAAGGAATGCAGGTGGGGAACAGCCTCTCCCGCAGCTCAGGAGTGGCCCTCGTGGCAGAGGTCTGGGGCGGAGGCTGTCCAGAATGAACTGGCCGGGCTGTCAGCACCTCCCTCCCTTCTTCAGAGGCAGGCACCCCACCAGGCCCTGCTGCCCCAAAGTCCAAACGGCCCTAGCTGGGCTGTGGCCCCAGCCTCTGCCCAGGCCCGAAACCCCAGCCCG